TGTGTGTGTGTGTGTATTTGATTAATACTATAAATGTTCAGAATATTTGATTGATAAGGTCAATTTAGAAAAAATGCATTTGAATAAAAGTTTATATAACTAAAAAGGCTAGATTAAGAAGTGTATAAACAAACACAATACATACCTTTCTAATAAAAAAGAAAGAATGAAAAATGTATACACTCCAAGGATGGTAGCTGTTGCTCTTCTACTTCTTTATTTTTTATTTTTTTATTATTTTATTTTTACGAAAGTTAATAAATATTTATCAAGCCTATAAAGCTGTAGTCACCTCTGTAAAAAATTAATATTTTTTTGTTTTATTTATATTAAATCCGCTCTGTTCGGAAGGTCTTCTTCAGATTTGTTGGGCTGAACCGGTTCATGATCACCGCTAGATGGCAGCAACGTTCTGATTTGTTTCTGTGAAATCCACTGAAGAAAACGAAGAAGAAAATAAGCCAATCAACAACAGCTAAACACAGACCCAGAAGTGTCTGGAAAAGGAAGAACCTGAACCGTGCTTAGTTTTGGACTTTGAGCATTTTGTCACGTTAATAAAACAAGTTTAAAGGTTCAGTAACCAGACAGAGGTGTGCGAGTGCAGGTATGTCGTTCAGCGGAGAAGCCGTGATTCGGGCCGGAGAGGCGTCGCTGTTCTGGCTCGGTGCGCTGACCGCGGCCTGGCTGTCAGTGCGCTTCGTGTACCGGCTGCTGTCCGGCTTCAGGGTGTGGGTGTTGGGCAACGGACGGCTCGTGGCCCCGAACAGACTGGGGAAGTGGGCAGGTAAGTCTGCATAATCATACCACGATATTTTACTTTACTTTATTTTAAACTGCAAACACTAAAGAAAACGAATCAAAAATAAATATGTTGTGAAAGTAAAGAGTTGACAAAGAAACCTTTTCAGACTGCAAAGTAATAAAAACATCATTATTCTTATCCTCAGATTAAAATCGTGACGTGTTTTACTTCTTTTCAGCAAAGTCCTGTTTCTGAAAACTACATTTGTTCAATAATGATTAATAAATACATTAAAACAAAGATGGGAAATTGACAAAAATTGCTAAAAGCTTATGGATGAATTTCTGTAAGACATTCTTTATTTCTAACCAAATCCAAGATATTTGAATTGTTCATAGTTAATAGACATGTATAGTATTTTATTGCAGCAGTATTACACGTACAATACTAGAGCGTTTATGCAGTGACCAGACTCAGCCTTTAATTTGTCATTTGTCAAAATTACATGTGCAAAATTCTTTGATCGGATTGAAATGTATTAGGTTTAAATAATCCAAATATACCATTCATGCACCATGCTTTTATTCAGAATAAATGTACTGACATGAGCAGGGTTGTAAATTTTCCTTAATAAAATAAAAAGAATAAAAAAAAATCCCCCCACAAAAGTTCTACTTCCATGATGAACATTCAGGTTATTAGTAGGCATCAATCACCCCCCATTCAAATTACAAATTAATTTCGATCAAGCTGAACCAGTCAACATATTCCCATTAGGGTCTTTATATTTATTCCAGTTGGCTCTTTATTCCAGTAACTTATGTTCATGTAGGCAAGTCAAGGTCAGATGGGGCAAATGGCACATCTCAGCATTTACTTTTGGATCTATCTCACAGGTGTCAAATCCTGGTCCTCGAGGGACACTGCTCCACATGTGTTCCTTGTTCCCCGGCTGCAACGCGCCTGATTCAGTGAATGAATTACTTTTTCAAATTCTGTTTTTCTTTTAATCGCCCATTCATGCACATCAGGCGTGTTGGAGCAGAGAAACTTGAAACCTGCAGGACTGTGGCACTAGAGCACCAGGATTTGACCCTCCTGATCTAACTGCTTGCAATATGTTTAGAATTGTTGAAGCTCATTTACAGATTCTCTGCATAATGAAATAGCACAGCTAGCTGTAATTGGAAAGGGGGACATCTGTAAAAGATGTATCCTGATGTCATATTATGCTTTGGGAACAGTTACAGAGGAATGCATCTTTAGAGTGTTGAGGGTGTAGATATCAGTCCTACGTCAGGTCAATGAAAACATGCCGGTGGTTAGAGGACAACATGAACCATTCAACTTATATCCAGACCGTAAAGCTCTGTCAAGGTTTTAATGGTAGACGTTTGTCCTCCATGTTCAAATATATCCTTTGTTTGTGAGTTTTGTAAATGTTTTGACTGTGGAGCGAAATGCTAAAGTTTGGAAACATTAAAGGCTTCACACTCCTTAAAAGAGTGCACATTACCATGTTTCACGACTCTGCTTTGTTCTGTGTGGAGGTTTCAATACATTTCAATACAGAAAAAATAAAATGTATCCTCTGCCTTGCACTAAAATCATTTTGGAGCATTTTCCCTTTTTGTTTGGGTTTTTAATACCTGACATTTAACATTTATGTGTTCCTCAGGCATATATTTAAATTCTTTAACATAATCAACTATGTCACCTTCAGTTGTTATTAAAATGCTGTTTATATATTTAAATAGAAACTAAACTTGACTTCTCATCATATCTGTTTCTAAATGCCTTGAAATTGGCCTCTGTCTCTTTAAGAACCTCCTTCTGCTTCTGTCCCGCCCATTTCAGCATGGGGTGGGTGTGTGTGTGCTCTGTGATGAGGAAGCTCAGCTTGGACACAGCCCAGAGGAGGAGCTGACCCCAAAAGGCGGTTCTAGTCCCAACTGGTCGTTTTTGCTGCCCTGCCTGGCTGCCTCAGGACAGCACAGGTTTTCTCAAACATGCATGAATGAGTCAAAGCAAAACTCTGGGCATGTTTTTAATGAGAGGGTAACATTATAACATGATATAAAACTAAAAAAAGGTGGATTTTACATGACATTGCCACTTTAAGTAATTTGTTTGAAAGTGTACAGCTCAAAACTCCAACTTCTTGTCACAACTCTTTTAAATT